GGGATGGCTATGCCTCCCCTACTCACTGAGTGAGATAATATTCCCCACAGCCAACAAGGGAGACCGAGGGAACAATGGGTTTCTCTGTAGCTAGTGGCAGCTTGCCACCCAGTTTGTGCCTATTGTAACAGTAGGGAGTGATGTGTGCTCACGCTGCCTCATTAACTACAAAGGGTAGGGAAGGTGATTCTGCAGTTTCCTGCTATCCACTGACCACACTGCGATTTTAATAATTTGATCAGTGCAGCACAAACTTACTGTACGTGTTCAGATCACTTCAGGGGGGAATATTGCCAAATCCCTCTGCTCGATGCTGTCTAAGTACCCATCCTGTCTCCTTCTGGAACACACTCCAGCCAGCACCCTTTCACTTTAAAGTCAATGGGAAGTTGCTGATCTTGTTATAAACCACCCGGCCGAGGAAACAAGGGGGCGGAGAGGGAGGGAGGGAGGACATCAGGGGCTGCCAAATGTCACCTGTCAGTCACATAAATACACTATCTGTTACACTCTAACGCTGACATTGGCCTGGCAATTCAGAGAGGGTGAATCTGTGACTTGGTTCCTCTCACAATCCCTTGCAGACTGAAATGTCCCACATTTCCAGCCTCTGGGCATCCCTTTAAATAAATCCACTCTCTTAAGCTTCAAGCAAGTTCTATGCGGTTTCATTCACCCCTGACCCCACCTCTAGACATTAATAACATTGATCAGTTTCAACAGTTACAGACAGGAATATAGCAAATGTCTTATCTTTCTCTGCATTTGGGGTAGGGGAGAGTTTGCTGATAAATGTCTTTGCAAACGTCATGGTGGATTATCTGCTAAACTTATTTTGGTTGAATGTGCTGGATTTACTGCTTAATCTATTGTGCTGACATCACTCTTAACAAGCAAAATTAAATCAGGGCTAAATTCATTTCAGTCACTCTATCTGTGGAGTTATTACAAAGAACAACACAGGGTAAAAGAAAGGACATTTTAGTAATCTCAGCGAGGTTGGGGGGGAGGGGGATGGTTTGGAAAGACCAGCAGAATAGATCATGCTAGGGTAAAAAAAAACAAGCCATCTCGTCTCCTGCAAGTGGAAAACTGACAGTCTTTGTATATGTAAATGAAGAATTTAGACTAATGGAGTTGAACCATTTCTAATTTTGTGATGGAGAGCGGATTTTGATTGAAAGTAATTAAGTGAGCTCGCTGTAAAATTAATTAAAACCAAAGGAAGGTTGGTGGGGAGGGGGGGTATGTAGGATGTTTTATTGGATTGGATAGTGATATAGCTTTGTCAGAATTTGGGAGGGGGGTGAAAATTGGGGGTGACCTGAATCTGTGCCCTCCCTCCTCCCACATGGGACATTTGTGTCACTCTAATCTCCTTACAGAGGCTGGTGCGCATTTGTTAGAAATAATCAAGCAAATATGGTCAAAAATTGTCAGCTTTCAGATCTAATTTGCCTGACAGCCTCGTGTGTGGCGTTTTGTCTAAGCTCTCTGTAAAACGCATCTGACAGGACTGCAGACAGCTTGTACCTTACAGTGATTTACAGCAGATAAGCCTCTTTCCCTCATTCTCTCTCTCTCTGTCTCTCCCTCCCACTCTCTCTCTCTTGCCCAAAAAGACAGAGAAAAAAATTAGCTGTCTTTTTGACATTTTAATAGAAAATCAGCTAATTCTGGATCAGAGTGAAGGGTTCTAGACCCCAAAGGAGCAAAGGGATTTGAGAACCATTTAATTTTTTAAAAGCAGTGTAAGAAACACTATATGTTTTTTTAAATTCCATAATTTTATTTTATTATTTAAATGTTTTTTTAACGATAAATACTAATCAACGGTCTGTCATTTCTGGGTCAGGAGGTCAGCCTGCTGTAAATATCTGATCCTACAGTTTCTAACCTTTCAGCCCCAGCAGAAAGCATTGTGAATGTCAGTAAAGGCCCTCAAGTTTATAAACATAAAACTAGAACAACAAAGAGGAGAGGGACTTTTTCTCCCCCCTTAAAACAGATAGGCAAGGCCGGAGGAGAGTGCAGCAATTCTGGTGCATTAATCTGTTTACTGCGTTTGTAGATGCAACAGGACTCAGGGAGAAATAAACGTTAAATGGGTGTGATTTTTGTTTCAAACCTTTCCCTAATGATCCGAAGGCACTGCTTGCTTGAAGGTCCTGTCGCAATTCTGGTTCTCCTTGAAATGAATCCCTATTGAACAGACTGAGAAAATATTGGTTTTGCAAATTTTCTCCTCAAGTCAATATTTTATGTTAACTGTCATCCACACACTGATTGCAACCTTCACAACGTCTTCCTCTGTTGCCTTCAAAAGTCTTGAAAGGCATTGAAGTGTCTTCAGAGAAAAGATAGCAATGTGCTGGTATAATGGTGTTCCTTGAGCCCAGTTTTAAGTACCTTCAAATCACCTCTCCTTTGGTTAGTGGTTGAGGCGGGTGGCCTGAGCTCACTGAATTGACGGAGGCAGTAGAGGAACACTCACCACTGCCTCCCTCTATCTCTCTCCCCCCAAAACCGCCTCGTTAGCGAAATGAGGAGCCTGTACTCTACTGAGGAAACCATTTCTGGGTTCCACTCGACTGTTCCCTTAGTCCAGGCTGGGTAATGTCCAAAACGTTTGCTGTCAGAACTCCTCCAAAGGCAGAAAGTTGGGAAACATTTTCTCAATTCTAAGTGAAAGGAACTTGCAATTTAATGTTTTTGTCACACAGCTTATTTCTGGAAATGATTATAAACAAAAGGGTCCCTTTAATGCACTGTTAGCCACACATATAGACATTTCTGCACAAAGGTTGGGTTTGATTTTTTTTTGCTCTCCCTGTCGTCAGTAAGTTACAATTTGTGTGCTGTGGCCTTTGATATCCTGATGTTTCGAAAGATGTGGGACAATGAAGGAACATTTCCTCTGTATGCCATATAATACAGTAATTACAAACCCATTCAGAAGGGATATATTTATAGTTTCTTTAACAGTGTTACAGAATATCGCTTGCATGAAAACGTGCATGATGTAGCCTGTCAATCCTGAGTATTTTGGAAGGTGATGGTCCTGTCCTTACCTCTGGGAGATGAATAGAAAGGGGCTCGAGACTGTGTGCTGGCCCAGAACTGTATGTTGTTGCTGCTCACTGGCCTGACAAGGAGTAGGAGGACATATGTTCACACTGCTGTCTCCCACATGTTGGAGTGATAGCATGAGGATATCATTGTGGTGAGAGACTTGAAAAATAGAGCTGAATTAACTGAAGCAGAGAAGGCTAATGGGAGATCTAATCAGAAGCGTTTACAATTAGTTCAGAATTTGAAAACGGGACAGATTGTTTTCACTGGTCAGTGAATTGGAAATAAGGGGGCTTAAACTTTGTATTAGAACTAGAGGCTTAAAGAGGGAGGTTTGAGGAAATTTTTCATGCAAAGAATTACTAGAATAAGGAATAAATTACCACAAGTTGCTGCTGAAGCGAGTTCAATCACAATGTTTAAGAGTGAGTTAAACACTTGTAAGAAAATATTGACAGCTCTGAGGAAACTGGCTAGAATAGATGGCAATGATGTGGAGCTGGTAGTCCTGGAATCAGGACAGGCCACAATGACCTTCTTCGGTGATTGGATTTATGCTTAGAAATGTCAGTGAAGATGTGAGTCACAAGAACAAAAGACTTGCATTTATATATCAGACATAACAAAGTACTGTGCGACCAGTAAAGTACTTTTTTTAAAACGCAGTCCCTAGTGCAATGCAGGATAACGGGGTACCGAATTTGTGCACAGCAACACAGCAATCAGCTAAAAGGCCAGAGAAATTCAAGCGGCCCTCTCGCCCCACTGATGTTGTGAGCTGAGAGTAATTTGACTTTTGGGGGAAGACTGCTGATAGGAAGGGAGCGAATGTAAGAAGGCAGCTGTCTGCCTGCTGATAACATCCTGCCCCGATGCTTATAGAGAAGCTGTGTGTTGTGTTATTGTGACGATGTGACCCACACACAACGTGGGAAAATGAACAGCCATCTATGACACCATTATGTTTTACATTTACGTCAATCACGTTGTTTAGTTCAAAAACCTCTGCAATGGCCAGTGTTCCTTTACATGAAGCACAATGTTTTTATTTTCATTTATTTCCCATCCCTATTACTTTTGAGAAGGGAGTGCTGACTCCCATCTTGAACCTCTGAAAGTCTATGGGCGTAACGGATACCTACAATGCTGTTAGGGAGAGAGTTCCAGGACCTAATGACAACGTATTTCCAAGTCAGGACGGTGAGGGGCTTGGAGGGGAACTTGAAGGTAGTGGTGCTCCCATGTATCTGCTGCCCTTGTCCTTTGACATGGAATTGGTCATAGGTTCGGAAGTTGCTGTCTGAGGAGCCTTAGTGAATTTCTGCAGTGCTTCTTGTAGCATTGTGGTGAAGGGAGTGCCAATCAAACGGGCTGCTTTGTCCTGGATGATTGGATTTTCCTGGAGCTTCTTGAGTGTTGTTGGAGCTGCACTTATCCAGGCAAATGAAGTATTCCGTCACACTCCTGACTGTGCCTTGTAGATCATGGACAGGCTCTGGGGAGTCAGGAGGTGAGTTACTCACCACAGAATTCTCAACCTCTGACCTGCTCTTATAGCCACCGTATATCAATATAGGTCGAGTCCAGTTCTGCTTCTGGTCAATGGTAACCCCAAAGTTACTGATAGTAGGGGATTCAGTGATGGTGATGCCGTCCAATCTCAAAGCAAAATGTTTCAATCCTTTTATTGCATGAGCAATGCAATTAAGTCATTTATATTGAGGCTTCAAAGATGTCTTTTGTCTAATGCTACTACCTTCACTAAAAGAGGAAGTCATTTATTCTGACATGGATATTATTCTGCACCAGATTCTCAGTTTAAGAGAAGTCTGAGTACATCCTCTACTTGAAAAAAATGTAATCATGGGTTTGGCTATGTTACTACATCAGTACAGTTCAGTTCAAAGTACCTTTCTCTTTCTCTCTAGCCCCACAGTGTATGTACTGATTGCTGTGAAATGCTTACCTCAGTATCGCTGGCTAATGTGGAAATGAAGTAAACTGAGAAATCCGCGCATTTTGGAAAGCAGGTCCTGAGCAGGTAATGTAACCACGCCCCCAACTCTTTATTATTTAATCCCAGAGTGACACTGTACACTACTTTGTGTATGATTGCTGAATGTCGTCTAAAGAGTTCCATTTTAATTACAAAGTTTAAAAAGCAAAGGAACCATTCTAATGAGGTCAACAAAACCCGAAAGAACTGGAATGCTGTAAATCAGAAACAAAAACAGAAATTGCTGGAAAAACTCAGCAGGTCTGGCAGCATCTGTGGAGAGAAGTCAGAGTTAACGTTTCGCATCCGGTGACCCTTCATCAGACCTTCCTCGCTGGATCCGAAACATTAACTCTGATCTGTTTGCACAGATGCTACCAGACCTGCTGAGCAATTTCTGTTTTAATTCTAATGAGCTGTTTGTTACTGAAACTGGTCAGTCTCAAATAACCCAAATCAACCAATCAGTGATCATGGCAGTTTCGACCCAAAATGTGAATAAAATGTTCTTAGCAAATTGTAAGGAGTTTCTAAGGAAGGAAAATGGGCAGTTTCTGAAGCGATGATTGCGCTAGTGTCCTGTTCCCAAGGGTTAGCTGTAGGTGAATGACAGGCGAAGATATAATGTACAATTTTACAACTTTGATATGACGTGGGGTTCACAGTATATTCGGCCTATTGTGCCTGCATCGGCCCTTTAAGCATTTTTATTTAGTGCCTGTATCCTGCCTTTTCCCCATTACCCTATACCTTGTTACTGTTTATGTAACCATCCAGCAGCCCTTTTGAATGCCTCAATTAAATCTGCCTCCACCACACGTCCAGCCAGGGCATTCAACACCCTAACTACTCACAGGGTGAAAACCTTTTATCTCACCACACGTTTGATTCTTTTGCAAAATGCTTAAAAAGTGAGCCCCTCCCTCCTTTTCTCAATACGTTTATGAGGGAGAACCCTTTCTCCTTATCCACTCTGTCCAGACTCCTCACCTTAGGAGATCGGGGCTTGTGGAGAGAAATAGAGGCTGGAATTTCCATTTTTGGTGCAGTTTGGGCTGGAATAGTGATTGAGTTTTAGACAACCTCAAACAAAACTCAGCTGATTCCAGCCAACTGTCCCATTGTTAATTCACTAACGCCATTTCAGGCAGTGTTAGGAGCAAGCAGAACATTGAGCACAAAGAGCTAGAGAAAATTGTAGGCTGACAGAGATTTGGAATGACTTTGGAGAGCTCCAAGAGGTATTTCAGCTTCCTTGTGGTCGTTTTGCCAAGGCAGAAGCAGCGAGGGGTTAAGAGGTGGAGCCTTGAACAAAAGGGAAAGGAAATAGAAGCATGAGTTGGCAAAGAATGATGGAGCAATTCAGCCTGTAGTGGGATGGTAACTGACAGTGAATGTGCTGGGCAGGAGGACATTTACCATCCATCCGACTCAGCATTATAACATCTCCAGAGGAAAGTAGAGCAAGGTTTCAGTCTAAAGCAAACACTATTGTCATTGGGTCACCTTATGCTGGACAACTCCAGAGGAAGTAGATCAAAGCAGATCTTAAAGAAAGAGATTGAGTTCCTACAGCTGGGATTTCTTCCTGTTTCTCTTCCTGGTCTGGACTATTAAATCCAACAGCCAGGAGTCTACACCCAGGCCATATGAGTATTAGCATAGAGAATGTCAGAGGATGTACTGGTGCAGCAATAATATTACTAAGACTAGTAATGTAGATCACCCAGACTCTTGTTCTTAGGGCATTGGTTCAACTCCCACCATGGCAGATAGTGAAATTTGAATTGAGTAACATCTGGAATTAAAACCTAGCCTCATGATGACCAGGTAATTGTTGTCATCAAAACTCATATGCCTCATTAATGTTCTTTCTGGAAGGAAATCTACCATCTTTACCCGGTCTGGCCTACATGTGACTGCAGACACAGCAACGCAGTTGATTCTTAACTGCACTCTGGGCAATTAGGGATGAACAATAAATGCTGGCCTGGCCTGTAACGCTGTCATCCTATGAATGAATAAAAACAATGTCAGTTGATGCCCACACCCCGTGAATGAATTTTAAAAATAATCCCAAGGTAGTTTGCAGCCAATGTAATGCAGGAAGTGGGTAACTCAGTAATTGTCAAAGCAATATCGGGGCAGCTATTTGAATGTCACAGGGAACAACACCAGAATATTGCAGCAGTGAGAGAGGGGGATTCATATTGGAGAATATTGACTGCTGGGTGCAGAGAGAGGCTCTCAGCAATGTTGGTGTTTCATTCAGTCTGCTGCTGTGCTGTCTTTAGAGCCACAGTGTTTCCTGCAATAATCTTCACAGTGAGATAAATCATCTCGATATGTGCACGGAGTTTGTGACAATATCAATTATCCTTGTCGGATGAATGGCTGATATTGGTGGATCTGAGTGTCTCCCCATAAAACTGTGTGGAAATTTGCATTAACCTATAGGGTTTCTCCTAGCCAAGCTTGGCTGATTACTGTTCCTTACAGATAGACCTATTCAATCTCACCCCTAGAGCTCAGTAGAGAACACATTTCGGAACTCACCTCCAGCTCTCACCTCCAACAAGCACTTACTGGAGTTTAACCAAATTCACACTGTGCAATACTTCACCCAGAGCCCAGGTAAAGATCCTCCTATTGTTCCAGGTTGTACCAGTTGGAGCACTGCCAGGTGTGGGGTTATTGACAGATATATTGACTCGCTCGGCTCATCTATCAGATGACCTTGGAAGCTGGAGTTGGTCAAGCCTGTCATCTGGCACCCATCACAATCCAAACAGTCCCTCTGTCCTCCAACTGGGTGTTCAGTGATTGTCCCATAGTCTGCCAGTATTCACAAGTGGGCATGAGTGTTTTGTACCCAGTAGCAACACAGCCGCCAATTCATTCATTGCCTCTTGTAAATCAACACGAGGAAAAGCTTGTTTCCAATGAGTCAAGCGAAAGGCTTGTATTTGTGTTCATAACTAACACACCTCAAAGCACCTTTCTGACGAGTGAGGTACATTTCGAGTTGTCGTCACTGTTGTAGAGGAGCAAATGCAGCAGCCACTTATGTACACAGCAAGATCCCACTAATCTAAAGATGACAGTGATCAGAAATCCCCTCACCCGTGATTCTGATTGAGAGATGTATATTGACCAAGACAACAGGACGAACTCCCTACTCTTCTTCAACAGAACATCATGGGATCCTTTCCATACAAGGTCTGAGAGGTGGCATCTCCAACACTGCATGCGCCCTTCATGCTGCACTGGTGTGTCAGTGTTGCCTTTTGTACTCAAGGACAGTAGAAGGTCTTAAACTGGGAACCTTGTGACTCAGAGGAGAGAGAGTATTCCCAACGGATTCACTGTGGTTGGTTGCACAGGGGGTACCAAGGAGACAGAAAAGGTCCACATCTGATTCCCAACCTGGAATTGTGGCTGGATTGTGCTGATTATGGCAATGGATTGTAAGAGCTCTAAGTAATACAGAGGACCTCAAGCAAGGGTCTTGCTTCTGATTGTAATGCAACAGCTATCAATAGAGATGCTTATCCTTGTGTCTGAACATCTGGTGAGATCAGGGTAGGTTTTTTATAATTAACTCATGTGCATGGGCATTGCTGGCTGGAGCAGCATTTACTACCCATCCCTAGTTGCCCCTTAAGAAGGTGGTGGTGAGTTGCCTTTTTAAACACTGCAGTCCATGTGCTGTAGGTTGACCCACAATGCACTTAGGGAGGGAATTCCAGGATTTTGACCCAGCGACGCTGAAGGACAGCAATATATTTCCAAGTCAGGATGGTGAGTGGCTTGGAGAGGAACTTGCAGGAGGTGTTGTTCCCATGTATCTACTTCCATGGCCGTTCAGATGATAGGGGTTTGAAAAGAGCTGTCTATGGATCTTTGGTGAATTTCTGCAGTGTATCTTATAAAAGCTACTGAGCATCAGTGGTGGAGAGAGTGAATGTTTGTGGATGTGGTGCCAATCTAGCTTTGTCCTGGATAGTGTCAGGTTTCTCAAGTGGTGTTGGAACTGCACCCATCTGGACCCCTGGGGAGTAATCCATCACACGCCTGATGCCTTATGGATGGTAGACAGGCTTTGGCGAGTCAGGAGGTGAGTTACCCAACACAGAATTCCTCGTCTCCGACCTGTTCTTGTATATTTATATGACCAGTCCAGTTCTGAGGAATGATAGTTACAGAGGAGTGAGACAAGAGCCTGAGCAGGGATCAGAAAACTGGCCCCAAAAAATGTGATCCAAGAACCCAAGGTTAATTGGCTGCTGACTCTGGGTGCATAGTGAACAGTGTCAGTCCACAGGAACCTGACAGTCCCTTCCAAAACCGTCTTAGAGAACTCTAGTCAATAATGATTATAGTCTCTGATCGGCTGTAACAAGTTCTCTTCCATCAACAGTTTGAAAAGGTCTTGCCCTGATTCAATCACGTCAGAGTACTAATGCGTGTCAGAGTGGAGCAATAGCATGCACTGGAGCTGTAAGCTCTATCAATGTGTTTGTATCAGGGATTGGTCCCATTTACTGGTACAGAGAAACTGCAGATCTGTGGGAAGAAGATAGCAGCACAAAAGCAATAGCGATTGAGCCGTAGTTACTATGCGAGCTGGACAGATTCTGGAACAAAACAGTAAGCATGTGCAGCAGTGATTGGATGAAAAAAAAACTCACCACTGAAAACACACAAAAAAAGTCATCACTTGTGAATTTGAGAGAAGGGAAAGGAGTAAGGCACCAGATGGTGGAATTGTTCCGTTTTTTTATTCATTTACGTGATGCAGGCATCAACAGCAAGGCCATTATTTATTGCACATCGCTAATTACCCTGGAGAAGGTGTTACTGAGGTGCCGTCTTGAGGTATTGCAGTTCATGAGGTATAGGGACACCAACAGTGCTCAAACAAAGAGGGTTCCAGGAGTTTGATCCAGTGACACTGAAGGAATGGTGATATATTTCCAAGTCAGGATGGTGAGGGGCTTGGAGGGGAACTTGTAGCTGGTGGTGTTCCCATGTATCTGCTGTCC